TGTCAGTAAGTTAACGACTCTCAGGTGTTTCTGTTTTCAGCGATGTCAGGCACATGTCCTAAGAAGAAAATAATGCACCAGATGGGGATCTAATAAACTCAAATTGATCTTGGTAAAACAAAGGTGACGACATGTTTGGTATCAGGACAGCTGGAAGCGAGTCTTTGTTGTCTGTCTGTCTGTGTGTCTGGGCAAACAGAGGTATTATGATAACATATCAGGAGTGTAAGAGTAGTTGTAAATGCCAGCCAGCAAGGTGGAGAAGGAGAGAAATTATTACTCATGTGCTTCACAGTTGACTGCACTGCCATTCAAATACGTCTACCATCATGTGAAATAGATCCAAGATCTAAAGTTGTCAAGTTTTGCCACTGAATCACTAACCTTGTTAATATGGCAACAGCCTTTTTCTCTTGGGAGAAAATTGTCTTGTTGCAATTATTCATGTCTTGGTGACTTCCAGCTGGGATTGCTACATCTGAAACTTGAAAACATCATCTAGTTCATAATGTGTGGTCATCTGATTGTAAACTGGGGCTTGGTGCTCTGGCTGTATCACTTCAGTACTGAAATAGTTACCCTGGTCTCCGGTTTGTTTCTGAGCCCAGCTCCCGATGCTAATTACCCGGTAAAGCCCTAAACAGCTGAGAACCAAGGGGATCTAAACAATTACCTATCCTTATAGGAGCGTATCTGTTTGCTGAGACAGCAAAGTGAGGCCTAGGGGCACCTGCCCTTGGAGATTAAATGTGTAGGTACCACGAACAGATCCTTCTCAAACGGGGCTCCCACATAGTACAGTGGCTTCTCTTCGTGCTTGCTTGCTTTTTTATATATATAGCACAGTTATCTGCGTTCTGTTTAAGCACATTTATGGAGATAGAGAGCATAGAGACATAAAATAAAATAAATCCTTGCAAGCAAAGAAAGAAACTGCAAAAATGCAGGAATGGATTTTGCAACCTGATCTTTAATACACTGAAGTGTCCTTTGGTTCCAACCAGAATTAAACCCATTGACACGAAAGTAAAAAAATAAATCATCCTCTGTTGTTTTCTGTGCAATCTCTCAGGCAGGGACGTAAGAGGGGGAGAAATGCACTAAAGTAGTGGTGAATCTATGGTTGTTTCTAAGATGCATCTGCTATGGTGGCTTCCTGTGGTTTTGCATCTGATCACAGACTTGATGGCTCAGACAATCTGGCCAACTTGGGACCTGTCTAGCGACACACTTTGTCCCCAGCCACCAACCCAGACATCTGCTTTCTTCGAGAAGAGGAAGAAAGTCATTGTGGTTCATTAAGTGAATAATTTTAGCATTGAATTGAGTATGGGAGGGAAGGGGAACTTAAGCTGAGGCCATATTGGTAGGCCCCACCACCATTCTGACTCAGATGTATGCTATCAAAATGGTTTGTTTCAAGAAAGTGGTGATTTGATAACCCCCAAATAACGCAAGTAATCTATCTGATGTATACGCTGCAACAGTTTTAATAATGAACCAGTATACAGTGGTGCCTCGCAAGACGATTTTAATTTGTTCCGCGAAAATCATCGTCTTGTGAAAAAAAATCATCTTGCGAGGTTCCCTATGCATCAGTCCAAAAAAAAAAAAGTCTTGTGAAGCATGGGTCTCAAAAACGCAAAAGTCTTGCGAAGCATTGGTCTCAAAAAAAATCTTGCAAAGCACGGTCATTGGAAAAAAAACATCTTGTGAGGCACGATAGTGATCGCAAAAACCAAATCGTCTTGTGGGTTTTTCGTCCCACGAGGCAATCGTCTAGTGAGGCACCACCATATATTTTTTTCTACATTTCTCTCTTAAAAACAAGTTTGGGTGTCTCCAAAAGATGCATTTGCTTCCAGTTCATACCTTTGCCAGAACTGGTATCCTGTAGTTGAGAGAATAAGCAAAGTCTTGTATTCTCATCGCTGTGCACTTATTATCTAAGCTTAACTGAACAATGCAAACGTGCATCTCCCACTTTTTTATTAAATGACTAAACAGTCCTGCAGGACAGAGGTACAATTGAGATGGATCTCATGATACCATAAAGGAAACAGTAATGTTAGACCTCATTGTATCAGACAGACACAAAGTGCAGAGGTACAAAATAAAAAGGAGTAAGAGGCTTCCCTTTGGGGAACGAGGGAGAAAAGCATATTTTCTGAATTCCTGTGGTTATGATCCAGTAGAAGGAAACCATTTTTTTTGAAATTTTCCAATTTTTCCATTGAAAGTGGGGTTTCAGAGGGCTTATTAGACAGATGTGCCCTGTGCCCTGTGTTAATTTATAGAAACAGACACACACTTTCATAAAAAGAGATACATTTTCACAGTTCCACTGGCTCATTGCCTGGAAGTTAATCTCACCTGTTCTTGGCAACTAATGAGAGTCTGTGAACAAACCTGCCATTAAAATTCTGCATCCCAAGGCAGAAAATAAACTTGGCAAAATCACAATTGGATAGATAAGGGATATTCTGCTTACCAAAATACAGTTTTACACCAAGATAAAGTTCCCCTTGTTCACAAGAAGTCATCAAGTGTGCTTGTCTTCGGAGGTGCTGTGGTTAAACCAAAATAAAATCAAGAAGTAGGGAGGGGTATTTGTGAAGAAAGAATGGGAAGGACACAGAAATATGAAACTTAGTAGAAAAATGTAGTTAAGAGGGAGCTCAAAAAGTTAAGCTAAAGCAGGGGGAAAATTAATAGTTACTAATAATAATCATATGCCACCAAGTCAATTTTGACTTATGGTGGCCCATTTCAAGGTATTTCAGAGAATACTCAGAAGTGGTTTACCAATCCCTTCTTTTTTGGGGGAGGGGCGTTAGTCCTAGGAGGCTTGCTGTACTGGTAGGAGGAACAGTGGGGAATCCAACTCCCAACCTCTGGTTCTTTCTTAACCCCTTTCCTCCCCATCTCTATTTTTTGCATTTAAAAAAAGCATTTCTCACCCCGTATCAAAACCCTTCTCTTGCTTTTCCTCTTCATCTTCCTTATAATTTTGTGTCCTTATTCTCCCCCCCCCTTTTTTTTAAAAATCTTAGCTGGTTCCAATGTGTATTCCAGCAACAGCCCTAGGCAATCAATATTCAGTTTTCCAGGATGACCTAGATGCCTCTGTATGGTGTCTAGTGTAGAACTCAAGAGGATCATTGTTTTGAGGAAGGGAAGACCACCACTCCATTCCAAGCCATCCATATCATCAGTTGGTTTACAATCTTTTAATCAATCTTGATAGCACTAATTAAATAATAAGTGCTATCAAGTTTGCACTCATTCATTTAAAATCTGCACTCTGTAGTCTGTACATGTGTGAAGGCACCACCTTCAAATATTCCACGAGGCTTACTTCTATGAAAGGTGTTCATAACATTACAGTGCACTGTTAGACATCTTTTAATCATAGGCACGGTGCTTGTTGAATAAACAGCTGCCCAGTGACTCCCTTTAATTTTTATTTATTGATAATTAATAATAATATACTGTAACAAGTGGATTTAGCATTGCAGCTTTAATTCATTAATTAATCCTGCAATCCTATATATACTTACTTGGGAATATGTCCCATTGAACATGGTGGATCTTGCTTTCTCCATTTTCAGTTCATTCCAGAGAAAACTATTTATCTGTTTATGCCGCAAAGTGCCTCTGAGCAGTTTGCAAAAATCAGCTCATCTCAGCCCATGATGGCAGCTCCATCTTTCAGATTTCCAGTGGAGGCTTTTGCCTCCTGGTGCAGCTAGGGCAACAGCAAACTTGTCTTCCTTGACCAGCAACAGCCTCTGATGAGTCTAAAGAGGCTCCTGCTTGAAAATTGTCCCCATATGAATCAGCGTCTCGGGAATTGCAACAAACAAATGCTAAGATGGTCATTAAACTCTGTGTCTGCATTTTTTTTAACATTCCAGGTTGCACTAAAGATAACCAAATATTGAATTACATGGATTTAGCACTGACTGAACGTGTGGTTTGCACAATTTATTCCAAAAGCAATATTTGTTTGATTTCTCCTAAGAAACTTTTATTTGGGGGGCGGGGCGGGGGAGAATGAATAAGCAAGAGGATGAGACATCAGCCCAAGGTGGTAGGGGGGATGGGAATCTTCAGTGGGCCTGCTAGAAATACTTTGACTACTTGCCTCCTAAGAAAATGGCATACAGGTGGGGCAAGCCCCACATTCTTGAGGACTATACACCAATAAAGAGAGATTGGTGTTTTCAAGTGTCTCCTATAAGCTAAAAAGATGAAGCCGGTAAAATATTTTCATTGTGGGTTTTTTTTTAATCTGTAAATTTGATTCATTTTTAAGGTGAGTAAAAGCTGCACATGTCACAGAAATGTTTCAGATCTTCGTCAAGACGTCAGTATAAAAAACATGTTAGTTAATTGTTGTCCCCCACCCCCAATGGGAATCCCAGCATATAACAGGCGTTGATTGCTCTTACTAAGAGTTTTAGTAACCATACAGATATTGCTTTATGTTATAGCCCAGGCTGAGATGCATTGCATTAATAAAATAAATATCAACAAGGGCCATAGATTCCAGAGCCAATGAAGAGCATAGCGAAAAAGCATTCTCACGAAGAGGTGAGTGCTGAGTGCTTCTGCAAGAGATGTATTTTGGTCCCTGATTAGAAAATGAAGGTAGGAAAGAAGCGAGCAGAGCAGAATGGAAACAGTGAAGAACAGCCAAGGCTGGTCCCCCCGTATCCCCTCCTTTTAACAACAGGTATGGGCAAATATTCTGATGACCGAAGGGCAACATCATTGTCACTCTTCAATTGGAATGGGCCCTTCTGAGTATGCATTTTGATGTGAAACCCAAGAATCTGCAAACTCATTTCAGGGAAGCTTTTTCTAGTTGAGGTTCTCTCTAGCTCAGAAGTTTCCATATTCCTACCACCCGCTCATTCTCTCTTGACTCAGCCTCTTGGGCTCCCTTAGACCTTCTACTCACTTTCTCTTTACACTTCCTTTCTTTTCTTTTCCAGAAATTTCCAGAGCTGAAGTTCAAGTACGTGGAAGAGGAACAACCTGAGGAGTTCTTCATCCCTTACGTCTGGTCTCTGGTGTACAATTCTGCAGTGGCGCTTTACTGGCGGCCCCAAGACGTCCAGCTCTTCACGATGGATTCTGGCTGACGGGCAGAGCGATTGCGATGCCAGTGCGTTTCCGTGGCACCCCTTTTCCCAGAACGCAACCCCTTCGATTTGAACCCTACTCAGAAAGACGTTAGTTACTCTTGAGCAAATCCTGCTGCTGTTTGCAAGGGGCATTGCTGGACACCAGAATATTGTGAGGACTCTGAACAGATTGTACACTAACGTTTATTTATATGTTTGTAAAGCCAAGAGATTTTTGCATTGGAAATGGCTGTTGGTTTGGGGCATCTCATGCACAGTAAGACATGAGCAGTGGCCAGCTTTGAAAAGAAAATACAAGAAGTCAGCATTTGCAGGTCAATTTCCTTTGAGCTTTCCAGGGGGCTGGTGGGGTTTCACACACACACCCGCCTTGGCTATACGCTTCTCATTTGATCTTCACAATATTCTTCCTCACAAGACGTTCACACACTTTAACCCTCCATATAATTGAAATTCATGCAGTTCAAAGCAACGTTTTTGCATTCTTGATATGTAACTTTATGGCAGGAAAGTTTGAAAAAGTCAGTGCTTTCGTGAGGGGTAGGATATTCAGTAAGGACACGTCATTTTGAGAAAATGTTGCCGTTTCTCTTTTCTGACTAGCCAAGATTTATGGATGTCCTGCCATAATTTCTGCTGCGGGACAAGCCTCTGTCTCAGTAAGGCTTTTGCAGGAGATGCTTCTGTTGGATCCAGGAGTGGTCCAGGGTTTGAGCAGGGGCGCAATTTAATCTAAACTGATGTGGTGAGGTACCCCCTCCCAAGTCAGACCACAGACCACCAGTAGCTCCATCAGAACATTCAATTCCACGGTGCGTTATCACAAAGTTACCTGTTGGATGTGCTTCTCACAGGCTCTCTGAGATGATGGAGAACATCACATTCAAACCACAGCTATGAAAGGGATCAAAAGAACACGAAACACAGGCAGATGTAATGCCCTTTCAGGAAATCAGGGTTTGCCACAGAGTTGCCAAGGTCAGGACATAATTCTCTGAATGTTGAAAAAATGAATATCCTGAAATATGCCTTTTTTAAACATCCACCATAAAAGATAATTGGCATTGTGTTGTTTTTGCAAGTAGAAGGAAAAAGAAGGGGAAATGTTAATGTAAGGTTATCTTTTCACACCGAATGTGGGCTTGTGGTGGTTACCTTTAAATGAGCAGGACAAACCCAACTGCAGAGGAAGGGGAACTGATAAAACATATCAGGTTATTGTCTCACCCAGCATGGTTTGTTACAAAATAAATATGGCACATTTTCTTAAACAAGGAAACTTTCTGAACAGCCTTAGGATATTCCACTTTTTAAATAACTTCTGGACAAATGGTAGAACTGGATTTTTTTCTTTCCACCTTTGATAAGCAAGATCCTGTAAAGTACTTTGTACAATTGGAAATTAAAGACCCTTTACTATTTATTTAAAACTGCAAATGTAGACACAGTTATCGTACTTTTTTTTTATTCGCACAGAAACAAATTTGGGGAAATAGCAATAGTTGTCCACTGAGTTGTCAGCATTATCAGCGTTTTCAGTGTAACATTAAAAGCAGAATTGAATGGGAAGCTAAAAGAGGAGTTGACAATGTTATGCTGTGTTTGGGCTTCATTTTTTCTTTTCTGGATGAACTCTTTGTAGTGTTTTCTGTATACCTTTCTTTTAAATAAAAGACTGTTGACTGCACTGCCAAAAAAAAAGGTCAGTGTTTTAAAGATGCATTCCCATGCTGCAGATTCCGATAGTTTTCTGGGGGGACAGTTGAATGATTTAGTTAATCCAACTGTGGCAAAAAAGCTGATGCTGAAAGTTGCTGGATGCAGGTCACCTGGGATTTCGGATCAGGGAGACTGTGCTTCATTCATGTAATCAAACGGATAAGGTTTTATTTTGTCTCCCCTGTAGCCAAGAAAGTTGCCTACACGCTTCACAGTGCATTGTACTAATGATGCACTGAGTTGTTGAAACTCAAGAGAATTGGCATGTTTAAACCCCATGCAGTTTTTATCTTTCCTTAGGGAAAACCTTGGTCCTTGGCTGAAACAGCCAAAGGGATGAGGGAGTTTATACAAAGCTTAATCCCAGAGCGCTTTCAGGCACAAGGAAAGTCTGTTGATGTCCTGGAAACTGCAATCTGAATATATTCCTCAATACTCCTTATAGATCTCTCATTCAGATCTATACATTCTCAGCTAATGAGGGCCCATTTTGGTATTTTGTGTATTACCACTGTAGTAATAAAAAAAGGGGACAGGAAAGCTATGGTTTGTGATCTGTGCAGACCTTCCCACCCATAACATTTATCTTGCAAGGCTTCATTTCCTTTTTCAGCAGCCTTCTACCCTTACTCTCATCTTGGAAATGGGGTTGTCTGCACCATTTGAACACATAAGATGACCCACTTCTTTTGGAAGATTTTTGAATGCCAGCTGGCTAGCTCAGTTGTTTAGAGCAATGGTCCCCAACCTTGGGCCTCCAGATGTTCTTGGACTACAACTCCCAGAAGCCTTCA